TGATATGAAACCCTTGACCATCCCAGCACATGGTGCGTGTTTTAGCCTGCTAAACCACTGAATGCCCACTAAAACCACTGAACAATTTTTTTCTAAGGTCTACAGTGTATAGAGCAACAAATAAAAACACAGTTTGGTCTTGCAACCATATTAATATTTCCATTGTTGTATACTGAGCAGATATAATTACTGTAACAGCTGACATAACGTATGGTTTGGTTGACCTTTTCTTTTGAATTTGATTTCAAGCTTTAGTGGTTCTGAAGTCAGGTCTTTCTCGTCCAATAATCAGCACTTTTAAAAGGCACGCGGACATCAAGTAAACCTGTGTAACAGCTCTGAAAATACAATTTGTTCCTTAAAAATAGTACAAACGGTTTTCTATAAAAAAATAATAATAATACAACTTTAAAGCATTGCTCATTTAATGCCGACAGTGTGCAGCGGTTGTATTGGGGAGAGGGTATGTGAATAGAGAAAAGTCTAAAATGTACTTGGGCAGGAGTTCTCTCAGTAGCTTCTGTGGTAAGCTGCATAAATAATAGTGTATTGTTTCCGTGGTGACTGGCTTGTACCACGTTTGCCTCTCTGGAAAGTGAACATGAGGAGGCGCTCCAACATGCTGGAGCACAAACTCCGCGTCGCTTTCCAGGTGCTCGTAGGACCCGATGAAATCATAAGAAACAGCACAAGGTTGGCATAAGTTATATATGGGCATCCAGTGCTCATTCATGCGCTCCACGTCCTCGTCTAACAAGTAACGAACAAACTCTGCAAAAGTCACGTCGTCTCCTGTTATAGCTGCATCCTTAGCGCGGCCTTTTCTGTAACGCTTTATGATCTCCACGCCGTACTTTTTCTGGTAGGACTCTATCTCGCCAAACTTGTTCCTGTATGCGGAAAGCAGGCGCTCCATGGGCTCTCGCACAAACATGAACTTGAAGTAATGCTTGAGGCGGTAGCGGATCTCTTCGGGCTTCAGAGAGGACAAGAAGACCAGGTCGCTGCGGTGGTCCATCTTGATGTTGACGTCCACGTTTTCCAGGGCTCCGCTCAGGACCTTCAGAACCCTCTTCCAGTTGGAGCAGGCCACTTTGGGGACGTAGCAGTAGAGGAAGCGGTGCTCGTCGTTCACGAGGACATGCTGCAGCAGCGTCTTCCTCTGTAGGAGGCTCAGTGACCACACACTGTGGGGCATGTTCTTGTGACTGCACATGGTTTTGATGGTCCGGTTACGGATCTCCTGGAGGATCTAAAAGTGAACAGAAATCAGTGACTTCAAGCTGTGTTCCATTAATTTTACACAGTAAGAACACTCCCTGTGTTCATATACCACTTTGCATTTAATCATTACTTATTATTTGTCTCTGGCTCTCTTCCACTGTGAGTCTTTAGTCCTATCTCCCTTCCCTCACATCTGCCATGGCCACAGTCGGTCTTGGCAAGCTTCTTCCTGTTAAAAGGCAGTTTTTCCTTCCCACTGTTGCCAAGCGCTTGTTCATAGAGTATCATCTGATCTTGTTTTCTCTGTATTATTGTCTGGTCTTTGCCTAACATTACAAAAAGTCTTGAGGCAATTGTTGTGATTTGGCTCTCTATAAATAAAACTGAATTTAATTGAACAAGCATCAAATAAAAAAATAAAAATACTGAAACATTTGTCACTGAGGTTCAGGATATCTCAGTCCTTCTGTTTTCCTCGTATTGTGTTCGCAATAAACCTGAAGTTGGGTATGGCAAATACATGTTTGCACAAGTAGAAAATACTTTGCCGATCCAGCCTGAAGAAATTTTGACAGTGTCTATTAGCTGATAGACTGGATTTCACTTGTGACTCTAACAATCAATATAAACAGGGAAACCTTAATGGTGCTGTTTGAGGACAGCTGGACCATTTAAATCTTTTTATATAGATATTTGACTCTGGCTGTTTCTTGTATGTCTCCTCCTCCCATTTGTGGTTACATGTCAGTATTTGTGGGTTTCCAAAGCATTTCAGCAACTGTATAATTGCAAATAAAGCCTCGTATATGGTGTGAATCCCCTTTAAGAGGCCTCCAGTGGTGTGAAAGTGCAACACTTTTTACTGGGTAGATGTTTTGCAGAAAAATGTCACGATTTAATCTTTCGTTACAGACTCTGGCCACTTTAAACTTTTTATAGGTGGATGTGACTGGTGAATTTACTAAGTTGTTATTATAGTTGATTTTTACTTTATTTAATTACAATTTTTAATTTGAAGTCCCATTAGTTTCCAGTTTTAGTTTCTTTAAAATAATATGGACATTGAATTTAAGAATATAAACAGTGCTTTTTTCAAGGCATTTGACTCAGTTGTGTGGACTTCCTGAGTGTCAGTAAATATCTGCACCAAAATCTCATGAGGCAGATAATGACATGGTCGTTTCCTGTGTATTTTTCCATTTCAGTTCACTTTTGAGTGCTTAATATGATTTCTGTTTTGAGTTAAATTATTTATCCCAAAAGTTGGAAATCGCTGTGTTAAAGCAGATAAAGTATGGAAAAACATCTCAGAAGGAATTGTCTCAGAAATGTAGAATATTACACTTAACGGGAAAATCTCAGTAATTCACAATGTAATATGACAGTAAGGAGCTTTAAAGTTAACGTGAATGCTGGTAATAAGGTGATAAACACTTTGTGCATCTGTCCCTGTTAAAGGGGAGCTGAAACGTGTTCAGAGCATGTCCAGTAAGTGTTACCGAGGGGTGGTCGTGTATTATTCACAGCCACTCACCAACTCCTTTTATTTCTAATTTTAGTTTAGTTTTAGTTCACTAAAGATCTTTAAATATTATTTACTGCAGTAATGTGGACAGGGGCATAATTTCCAGGAGGGTTATGATCCCCCCCCCCCAATACAGTTATTAATAAATAGGCTGTTGATTTTGTTTACTCGTTTCAGTTATTACCAGCAAAATAGTTGCATGTTTAATCATTTGGGAATTTACCCAGATGATTACACCCCCCACCACCAATGTTCAGCACAAAGTTACGCCCATGAATGTGGAGTGAAACTACATTTGATCAGGGGTACCATGATGTCAAAGTTGGCTGCAGGGATTCAAAGATGGTGTTTAAATCGAGCGTTCACGGAAACCAACCAAAAATCTACCTTTCAACCATTTCACTGAGGAAACTGCTCTAAGGCTCTTAAGCCTCCGGCTTATCACCGATCAGCAACTATTACGAAATGCTGAAATATTCAGACTAAATCTAAGCTAAATCTTCATGTGGGGTTACATTCCTCTACCTGGGACTCCAGGTCCGCCGCGTCTGGGCTGCGTCCCCCCGCCTGCCCCCGGTGGAAGTCTAGTCGCCTGCCGTTACTGCGGGGTGAAGGCGTCTCCATGCCGTTTAGCATTCCCTTCTCTATCATGAGCAGCAGGCCTCCGGATGCTACGATGACCAAGAAGGTTAACAGCGACGGCAGCACGGCGGAGCTGCGGCGGCCAGAGCTCAACTTCATCGCTGACCTGAAGTTTATAACCGAACCGCTCCGCGCTCCTCCGCTCCTCTTCATGCCGTACTCCTGCCTCCGAGGGAGCATAGTTTGTGTCCGGCTTGTCTGTTTGATGCCTACCAGGTTTTCTAAGTTGCTCTCTAACTACAGTAAAAACCCGTTTGATACCTACCACGTACCCATACTTAAGTTCAAAAGTGCACGAAAAGTGTTTTTGTGTTTTAATATAAGCACTTCCTGTTTTGACTGTCAAAATAAAAACCCCTCAATCAGGGGTAAATCGGAGTCTCATTTTTTGCTAAGAAAAAAAACCCCACTCTCAAAATTGCCTAACAAACCACAGAAGGTTTCATTTCTAATTTATTGAGAATACACTTACAACATAGACGGTAAACTACTTGAGATTTCATAAGAGAAATAAGTGCAATTTTATTGTGATGATTTAAGTTTTTCTCCAGCGACCCTGAAAAAGGATAAGCGGAAGCGAATGGATGGATGGATCTCTGAATACATGTGCATTAAGTTACAGATCATAGGAGAAAGGCACAAAACTTTGTGTAGTTTTTTTTCCCCATGTAGAATTTTTGTAGTAAAACAAAAAATGTATATTTTTTAAATTTATGATGCAAACTAGATTGTTTGACGTTGAAAAATAAATGTAATAATTTCTGTAAAGTGCTTTTGCTCGCTGTTTTTCAACTGCGCAAACTGATCAAGCTAACTAGAATATACAGTTTCAAAATAAAATCCTTACTGCTTTGTTTTAGAGAGGGGGGGGGGACCAAAGTATCCCTATGCATGCTGGTGTATGTAGTCCAGTTAGCATTTTCTGATTTTTATCTCCGCATTCAAACATAGCTTGGTAGATCCTCAACTAATCTATGGTCCTTAGACTGAAAACATTTATATAGTATGAATCAGCTGTGAACACAAACCGTTTATATTTCAAAACTATACATCCTGCTAGGCACTCATTACAAAGCCTAAAATGTACAGCATTCCTTGTTTTTATCCACCTTTTCAATACAGCTGCACCTTACTGCTCCACAAAACTGTCTGGCCCAAAGCTGGAATCATTGATACCACTGTATATAAGAGAGACTACAGCTAGAAATTCACCAGTGACTGGCAGGAGATGCAGCCAAAAGTTAAAAGAACAGCTGAGCACCTCGGAAAGAGTTCAACACACCGGCTGGTAAAACACTGCCCCCTGGTGGTGAATTTCTTAGTTAAAATTTGCCAAAGTAGTTTATTTTTGTGATCTTTGTGTATTTCCCTTTTCTATGGCAGTAACTTTCAAACTACTGACACCTTTGCTGCTTTGCTGATTACAGATGTCTTTTCAAATCTTTTTTACTTAATTAGTTTTTGAGAGACTCGCATGCCTTCTTGCCTTTTGAAGATTGGAGACAAAACATGAGTCTTTCTCTTAATATGCTGGATGGGTGAACGGGGGGTGAATATATGTGCCCTCCTCCGGTTATCCTACACGCAGCCCACAGTACGGTGTAAGCGGTCTGCTGTGTAACTGTGATGCTTCAGGGTTGTATTATCACTGGGCATCATACAAGAAAACCACAGACTCAAGACACCCTTGCAGGATTTACACCTGCAGGAAGACCACCCTGCCCTCCCTTCCCTCCTCGGTGCTTTCACTTCCATTCAGTTCGTCATTCCTTTCATTACCACCCACAGGCACGAGCTTACGTTACAGTAACGTGCTCGCATCGTGACCGGAGCTCATATACGCGCTGTTACTTCGCCGACACTCGCCTTTCTCTGGCAGCCACACCCTCCCATCTTCATCTCCATCTCTCACGCGTGCAGCTGTGACCGTCGGGCGGTGCGTGCGTCTCCGTGTCGGGCACCCGCAGCATCAGCAACACAAAAGGGTCGGAGCTGGAGCTGGGTTTACCTCAGCGCGGATCGGAAGGAGGGGATCGCGTTTCCGAGCAAAGGTGGTGGGATTTTTTATCTTCTTCTCTTCCATGTCGGTTTGTGTTTATGGTTACTGACTTCCATTTTCACGACGCTATTGACCTTGTCATTGTAGACCACCCCTCATTTTACCCATTGACCTGCTCAGATCTTCTACTCCATCCATCGCAGATCCGTGTGTGTTCGTCTGTGTATGTGTGTGTGTTTGCTGTAAATGGGCTGGTACTTGCAATTTGATCCGGTTTGAAATGCGCAAACGCCGATGTCAACAGGCCAGGTTGTGCTCAATCGTTACTTTTTAAACCCCAAAACAATCCTCATCAATTAAACGCCGTTTGGATGCTATCAGTGAAAAATGTGAGAAAAGCAGAGGCCACATTCTTTGTTCTCCACGCGCTTTTTAGTCTGCAATTAATAGACTGTAGTCCCCGTGCGGCGGCATCCGCTAATCTGCAATCAGCGGTTTGGTATCGATCGGTGCCTTTAGGGTGTATGTTGATGTTCTCCTTTACTTTGTCTTCCCCTAAACGATGGGCAGTCGGTATGAATTGTAAGGATGTTTATGCCAGCTTGAAAACCATGCGCAGGCCATATGGTGCGGGCCTACATGTGCGGGGGGGAAATGAAGGAAATTATGGATTTATTTTCCCACGCGTCATTTAAAGCCTTTAAATCAATGCTGCAACACTGTCGTACCAATGGACTTTGAGGCTGAGACACACAGGCAGCGAATATTAATGTCAGCTTGCCAGATATTAATTCACAGGTTACTGGTGCTGGGTTTATGGTGCTGGTGTGGAGTAAACTGGTCTGTTTTCTGGTTGGCTGATTCAGTGCTTGACTGACATGAAGATGTAGACTGCTGTAGTATTTATGTTTTAGGTCATCAATAGAAAGACTGAAGCACGTGCTTTGCAGGAGAAAGATATGATAGTAAAGACGATGATAGCAGATAAGTGGAGTTACTTAGCAGCTATAACAACAAGCCGCTTCATATCCAGCCTTTGGAGTATCAGATCCACTGATGCACAGTAAACAACAAACTGTTATCGTATCATCACCACCCAATGGTGACTAACTGGCTTTTTTTTTTCTTTGCAGAGACATCTGCTGAGTGTCTTTGTAGTGCCAGACATGAATTTATTTTATTTGAGTCATGTATGGCCCTGGGACCTCAAAATAAAATGATTTAATTTGAAATTCTGTAAGATGTAAAAATGTCTGTCTGATACTCTGGTCTCTGTGTGTTTTAAATATCAGGAAAAACAGAGCTGAAAAACCCCATGATAACCTAGAAAGGTTGGTTGTTCATTAAACGAGTGACTGTCCAAGAGTATGTGCACAGCGTGTGATGCACTGACTGGATCCAGCATTTGATTGTAGTTTGCATCTTACTGCATGACCCACCTGACTCTGTATACTGAAATGAAACAAGTACTACGATTTGTCCTCCTTTAGTTCAAAATAGTAGCAGAATAACTCACAGTATGTTATTAACACAAAACTCAATTGTATTCCATTTTAATTTATTTATATGGCACTATACAGACCCTACTGCTTCTAGTGAGTCAAAATGCACCAGGGTCCTTTTAGACTGCCTAAATGATTTTATAAAAGTACTGGATTCTGACACCAGTGTACTGACGCCGGTATCACCAGGCTAACCAATACACCAGCCCCTGTAAAAACTGTAAAAATGATAAAGAATTTGCTAGATACCTAACCTGATTAAATAATCACAGTTTTAATCATGTTGTGCAAAGCTCCGCACTGCCCATCTAAAGCATAAGTTCTCTTATTCTATACAGAGGTTTGCATTACGATCATTGCTGTTTTTCTCCAAAGCTAAAAAAAAATGTAATTACAGTCTGGCAGTCAGTTCCTTAGGAGGCCTGTCCTAATTATTCAGTCCTCTGTGATGCAAGTTAATATCAACTCTTTAGAAATTTCCTCCCTGGATGATCTTAGAAATGTTTATGTAACACATCTCTGACCTAAATAATATGACCACACAGTGTTTATTGTGTTTATGTTGTTATTCTTATTTTCCTGACATACGTCATATATTTAGGTCACCACAGAAATGTTAGCATATATCAAAATGACAAGGGATTGCAGCAGGCTGTAGATCACATATCTGTGTAGGTTTGTATATTTAATGAGATCCATTCAAAATGTTCTTATTTGTGGACATTTCCCCCTCTGTGTATTTCTTATAAATCACAAGATGACATCACATTGCATCTATACAGATTTCCGTGCTACGGAGAAACATATTCAGCCATGCTTTCCAATTTCCATAAAAAATTTGAATGGCTGCTTTACCACATGCCAAGTGTAGTGGCTGCTACAGTATCACTTAGCATAGAGAAGGCTGTTTGATCCTGGCCTTTTTCGCACAAAGTGGAATCGTTAAGACACTCTGCTCGCCGTGTGTGCGCGAATACACGAGGATGTGAATATCTGTACTAGAGCATGTTTGCGCTGCTTTACTGGGAGGTTTCTATTTATGCACATAGGCAGTCAGAGAACAGTCTGTCTTTGAAGTGCTGTGCTGCTGTAACATAGGCGGCATCCAGGTTGGTAAAGCCCCATCATTACCATATCCCTGTGAGACTGCAGTGTGATCCTGCCAAAACTGGAGAGTGGGGGGAATAGCCCTTATTACACAGTAACACTGTGGTGATTCTCACAGCCATTATGGTACCACGTCACATTATTATAAATGTAAAAAAAAGGATTGAGGGCAATTAGCTCCTTTTGTTCTCCTAAAAAAGGATATTTACTTAAAAAAAAATAGCCACTAAATAGTTCCACAAGCTGACTTGTGTGTGTTGGATAGTGTTGGATAGCTCTAAAGGCTGTGAGCTTCACAGACTAGTCTATTACAGACATTTGTGACCATAACACTATTAGGGAGCTGTGATGGGGCGCATTACAGACCTTTATAATCACACATGTGCATCCATGATTGCAGTTAACCCACAAAGAAAGTCTTTATGAGCATCAGCCAGTTGAAATGCTGAATGCCACTCTGTTCTCCTGCACTGGCTATCTGGCGGGGAAAACAAAGTGTCACTTTGTGCCTCCTCAGCACAGCAGCACTAACAGACACAGGAGAACGCCCATCTCTCTTCACTAGGCACTCTCACTGCCCCTGTACCCACCGACACACCTCCTCCCTTCAGACTGTGCGTGTGCTCCACTCTCTGACACACATGAGCCAAAACTGACATGAGTTTTCATCATATGACGTCACCTCACAGGGACAATAATATTCTCATCAGCGTGAGAATATCAAGGGATGCTTACCGAGTCATTCTCCCGTGCGCCCACATACATGGACGTACATGCGCACACAACCGAGTGCTCACCGCATTTGACACCTGACTCCAGGTAATGCCCTAGATCCACAGTGACAGCAGGCAGGTGGAACAGGCACACACTCGCAGATCCCCTCGCGCACAAAGCGACTTCACAAGGGTAAGAAAGCAATCTTGAGCACACAGTTAGGTTTGCCTCTTCTATGCTGTTTGATGGTTGACTTAAGCTGTAGATTGGTGTAGACAGTCTCTCTCTGCTTGAAAGACACCTATCATGTTGCTCATGCTGTACAAGGTTATTATGTGCAGTAATGTTACTGTATGTTATTTGTCTAATAAAATATGCTGAGTCATGATGTTAGTGTGTGAGATGGTCAGGCAGGAGAAAAGGGGCTTTTTGCTTATTTGCAAAACTTAAGCATAGTCACTTAACACTTGCCTAATGTGGAAAATATAACCACGGTCATGTGATACATGTTGCACGTGACTCCTAAATCCATTGTTACACCACACGCAGCCTTTGGCTTTCAAAGGAGGGGACAAATACCAAGAACACTGCAGCTGGTGTTTACTCCAGACCTGTCCGACCAAACTGTACATTTAGTGCTTCTGTTAAGTTTTTCAACACTACGCTTTATGGCTGCGGAGTTCAGGCAATAAGTTAATAATAAGACCATTAATGAGGTCCATGGAGAAATGCCAGTTACAGTCAGTTAACAGCTATACTGGCAGTTATATTCCCCAGATGGTCAATGATATTGACTACCTGCATCATGTTAGTTTGTCAGCACTGGCATTATGAGAATTTCAGTACAGTAATGTTAGCTCCAAGCACTACTGTGCACAGGTGCATCCTCATGAAGCTGTATGTAGTCTTCTAAATGCCATGTGCAACTCCAGTTCCACAAAAGTTAGAATGCGCATAACATGTCAATAAAAGAAGAATGCAAAGATTTGCATATCTCATATTTTTTCACAATAGAACATAGAAAATATATTAAATGTTTAAATTGAGAAAATTTACCATCTTAAGAATAAGAAAAAAGCATTTAGCATTGATGATGCCTTTGCAATTCCACAAGGACTACTGCACCCCTTTACAATCAGAGGCTTTTAAACTGAGTGCTGATAGCAAACTGGACTGTCCTCCTCCTCTTTAGTCTGAAAATAAATGTAATCTTTGCCTCATCTGAACACACAGCAGTATTAAACTGAGTTTTAACAGAGGTTTTTCCCCAGAGCCGACAGTGGTTTTTCTAGATCATGTTCAGAAATGGCTTCTTATTTGCATGATACAAGTTTAAACCTGCATTAGCGGAATGCACGGCTGTGTTCACAGGTGATTTATGGAGGTGTTCCTGAGTTCATGTCCATTTTTAATGCAGTGTCCAATATTGACTTTCAGCCTTGTCCTTTACGCACAGAGATTTTTTCAGTTTCTCAGACTCTTTAATAATATTGTGTACTGTAAACGATGACATGTTCAAAGTTGTGGCAATTTTACTTTGAGCAATGTTACTTTTAAAAAGTTCCACAATTTGTAGATCAGTGTTTTTGAAGATTGAACCTCTGCCCATCTTTACTTCTGAGAAATTCTGCCCCTCTAAAATGCTCTTTTTATACCTGTTTTTTCAGTCTTTTGTTACCTCTGTTGCAAAATTTTTGAGACATGTTGCTGCCATCAAATTCAAAATGGGTTAAATATTTTTTCATTAAATAGTAAAATGTCTTAAGTTTGAAAATTTTGTACGTTTTCTATAGTCTATCAAAGATAAAATATGAGTCTATGAGAATTGTAAATCGCTGTATTTATTTTGTACCCAACATTTTTTGGAAGTGAGGTTGTAAATATCGGTGCTACTGCATCATCCATAAGAACGTTTCCTTATGGCAGTTTTTTCTCTTTTGTCAGTAGATTATGCCTTAGCTCTAACTCAGGCAGAAGTAGGTTTAGATCTAACTCGCACAACTGAGTATGTTCACTAACTCACATGGGGCTCTGGTTTCATGGCAGCAGAAACAGCATCAGCACATGTTGGTGTTTTGATGTTTATGTTTGTCTTCCTTAAGCCCTGTACAGCAAGTGTGGTACAAAGGTTGTAAGAGGGGACATTTGCATTAAAATTAGCTGCAAAAAAAGCTTAAAAAGACACATGTGGACTGAAATCAGCTTAGAGCATGGAGCTAATGGTTAATCCACCTTTAAATGCAAGTGAAAATGTGCAGCCCTGACAATAATGAAACTGCTAACAAATAATTTGATGAAATACTTTGCATCATCTTTAGATATTCAGGTTAAATTTAAAGTTGACTGTGACAGTAGAAGTCAAATGATCTGTAATTAACTCTGAATCCATCAGTGGACGACTGGATGGTCTGTATGAAAACCAGCCTGCTGCTGTAAAACCACTGCATTAGAAGGTGTAAGTGCTTCTGTCCACAGATATAGAAGAGTGAAATAAAAAATAACAAATCAAAATAAGATTGTAGTACAAGTCACCAGCAGGTATTGATAAGCCATAGTCACTAGAAGTGTCAACAGTTTATGACCCTGGCGCCTTTTGCAGCATTTTCGATGCAACTGCCTAGCAAATTATATCTTTGCATACATATATAAGAGGTGTCTTTGTTTTTGGTATGCACCTATACAGCCTACGTCTGACTAGCTGGTGCTGTTTGGATTTTTTGGAACCATATTTGCATATTTGCTGCACCCATACTGTATATGGGTGCAGCAAATACGTACATGGAAAGCCACCTGCTAATGAATACTATGTAACAGCAACTAATAAAATTACAAGAATTTCCTTCACCAAAATTAAAGCACAAACTTCATAGATGAGCTGTACTTCTTAGTGGACCATGACATTTGCTCGATAGTTCCATTAAAAATTCTTCAAAAGGCGCCAACGCTACAAACGCAATAGCGAGGTTGTATTCAGTTATTCAGATCAGTGGAGGTGAGGCCTAGCTGCCTGCTAGGCTGTCTGTCTGATGTTAATTCTGTTAAACTGGTGATTTTATCATGGCTGCAAATTGCCACACCGCAAACTGCAGTTTTTGTCATTTCTCTGGCTTTCGGCTCACTTCATAGAAACATTTAACATGAGGAACTGATTACACCATTACACTTGCTTTGCCACTGATATTTATTTTAACCAATATAGGGTGCACTAGATAGCAAGTGCACATGCATGCTCCTTTTACTATCATTGCTTGCCACTTTGTGCTGCTCTGTGCAACTGTTCTTAAAACAACTACATCAGGAGAACCAGGAGCAGTGTTTGCACATATGCAGGTGTGCACCTAGAGAACCATTTCAGTCTGTTTGTAGTGATAAGCACTTGTTCTGTGTACGTTCTCGGTCTCCTTTGGCCCTGCCTGTTTCTATGATTAGTATAGGCTGAGACACGATCGAAGTCCAAACCCTAAGGGCACCTAACAGATCTTGGGATTGCATCTCCTTCCTCATCCATCGCTTACCATCTCACTTTCCAATCCATGCTCCCATTCTTCAGTCTACACCTGATGCTTATACACCTAACAAACCCAGACCTGTTGTTTTGTCACTGCACTGTATTTATTTCACCGTTTTTCTCCCAAAGACACAGCGGAGGCAGCAGGAACATTCATCTGGGTAAAACGAGCTTTGTGCAAAAGGGCAGATCGATGTTCCCTAAGGTTTTACTGCAGTGGTGCGCAGCCATCTCAAGCTGCGCAGCTGAAATAGGTAATCTGTTAACACAGCTCCAACACGTTCGTCTGTCTGCTTTGTCAGCAAGCTACCTGTGCTGTGCGATTATGGCACATAGCTGCTACAACTCTGAGCTATGCCATCAGGACTCTGGTAGCTGTCTGGCCTGAAGGATGTTGAGCTGCTGAGTCGTTCAAAAGCGCTGAGACGCAGCATCGTGTTATGCCACCGCCATACTACGATGCAGCTGTATCCTTGTCAAAGGCATTTCTCTGCTTCTGTAGAGCACATGGCTGCTCCTCGTGCTTCTCTCATCCCATCTCTGTCCTCTGCAGCAATCGGACTACACATAAACACGAAATAAAAGCTTCTCGGCACACAGACACTTTCTCAACATTGGCACAAGCAGCCAAACAGACAAACAATAAAACAAGATTCCACAATATCTCCGTTTATAGACACAAACACATGCAGTCTCTTTCCTCAAAACACGCTCTCTCTGTCTGTGTTCACACTCCTACTTCCAAACATGCTTGTTTGCTCCTTGTCCTGTGCTGGCTGGAGTCAGACAGGACAAAGGGCCTTTTTCTGGAGCGAGACATTTCTGAGAGAGTCTGTGCAGCTCTGTCACACTCAGGAAGGAAGCCCACGACATGCTGATCCCACTGGAGGCAGCGGGCTTCTCTCCAGCTCTCTCAGTACTGTCTCTGATATTCTCTGGTTTTATCCTGACCACTTGTGGTTTTTTACAACACAACACACATTCTGCTGTACATCAGAAAACCTCTGGCTCGGCCGGCGTGCTGCAGACAGGTGTTGACCAGAGGACGCTGGGGTTTCAGGGTTCAGGAAGCCATCTGTGGTGTGTTGGTTCCTGCCAGTTTAGGAGTTGCAAATAAGAGGTGGTTTGTGTGGATCTCTAATTATGAGGCAACTTATAATACCTGCATCTTAGCTGAGAACTGTTACTTTGGATAAACCTGAGTTGTTGGGGGTTTTAATCACTATTTTTGCAGCCACAGCAGAGAGACTTCAGAGAGCTCATCTTGTTTTTATCATACCCCAGGAAAGCCAATCACAAGAGCCATTCTGCAAGAGCTAACAAAGCCGAACTTTCTGATGAGAGTAAAATGGAAAGCGCACAGGCCCTTTCCTCTTCCTCCTTTTTCCTGAATTAAAATCTTAATAGCAGCATCCCCATGTTCACTTCCTTTTTTCTCTCATCACAGCCAAGGTGGGCAGTGATCATAGCAACGGACACCATGGAAACTAAGCATGACATGGTCCTAGAGGTAACCGAATCCAAAGGCCCAGGTAAAGTGGTTTTATAGACATCTTAAAGAGACGGCCTTTTAAAAAAACATGTTAGGTTCATCGCATCATGACCTTTTTTTTACTGTCTCTTTAAGAACTGCATGGTGTGGTGATGGGTTTGACTTCATAGAAGAGATTTACTTCATTTGTGGTGTGGTGTGTCCACATTCTGACTTCTTTAATCGCCTTTTTCTTGCTTGTCTGTAATCCCTGCAAGGGTCACGATGACCCTCATGGAGAGTGAGTACAGCATAGTGCAAATTGAACAAAGTAACACATCAATGTTAAAACATCATGAAAACACATTTGTGTTCAGGAATTGCAAGTGTACAGATTCTGTACATTTATTGGTGGACATAATCGATAGCTGTCTTAATGATAATGTTAACAGATTCGACTATTTGACATATATGCTGTTTCAGTGGTGGATACTTTTACTCTTGGATCTTTGTGATGTCAGTGAGACTGGATATCCCTAATATGGTCATCTTACAAACATGCAGTGCAAACCTTTTAGTTGTGAGGGGCAGCCAGTCAGCTGACAGGTGACTTTAAGTGAGAGCAGATAAAATGTCACATTTCAGACAAAGATAGAACCAAGAATGAGGGGAAAGGGAGCTGAAAAGGCATAATAAGTGTATATAATAAAATATTATGGACACAAAATGAAAGAATTATCATGCCCTTTTTGCATGCACTATTTCCTGGCAGCGATCACAATTTGAAACTGGTTGTAAATAACATGTCCAGGAGTTTATAGTGGCTGTAAACCCCATCCTCTATAGGCAATTTGGGAGTTTTGAATGTTGCTTATTCTGAGAAATATTTTTTTAAAATGTCCCTCATCAGTTTCATACCGCTTATTAGTGACTGTAAGATGAAAACCATGGCTTTAATGGTTCACTGCTCTGATGATGCTTTAAGTAAAAAAGCTACAAAACTCTACTTTATACTACCTGCCCAGCTATAGACAGTGCATATTTTTGCTGTTGTTATAAAAGCATAAAAACATATAAAAAGATTAGACACTAGTTGGGTTTTTTGTAGTTTTTTGAATCTCCCAGCCTTCGATCAGGTAATTCATTTACAGCAGTTTGAAGCTTACAGATAAAACAAAAACAACAACAAAAAAGAAATGCACAGGAAAAAACTGAAGAAGAGCTGAAGAAACCAACTATTTAAAAGATGAAAAAATAGGAAAATAACTCATTAGATTATATATGGGAGTAAATGACCCTTTTCATCTTAAGGGTCTAGTGAAGAGATGGCTGCGGACATTAGGGAATGTACTAGTGTGAGATGATGTAAAGGGTGGGAACAATCAGACATGATGGGTTTTGCTTTCTTATGTAACTGCAGGGTTTTCAGTGCTGTTCCAGTTATTTTGCTGCAGATATTAATCACCTTATTCAGTATGTTTTCTGTTTGATCTCGAGAGACTGATTGCAAATGACAGCTTGGAAAGTGAGTTCAAATTCAATAAAAGAGAGATAAAGTGTTGTCACCAGGGCCCTGTCAACCTGGAGCTTGAGGAGTTTGTCGATATAAAAGAAACACTGTAGGTTTTCTTATTCTCATGTCAGTATTAATATTACTATTAGAGTGGACCTGTGATGCTTCATATTTTCTGCATCAGTGGTTAAACTTATATATATTAAATATGACTATGTTTTCAATAAATAATTTCAATTAATTTACATGTAATTCTTGTCAGCTAAACGTTTCAAACTGCCGCAGATTCTTTTCCCCACTTTTGGCTCACTGTGATGTAAGTGACAGCAGATATTCCTCATATAGTCATCTCAAATCAACATAATTGGTTTTGAGCTCATAAGCCCCTCCCGCCTGCTCTTCAAAGTGTTGTTTTTAAGAAGCAACCAATCAGGAGAAAGTTAGCTTAAACGAGGGGAATGAGGCCCAGTATAAGATAAATAGGGATTATTGTGAACTGTGAATGCTGCAGAGCATTACGTTTACCATTAAAAGTTGTCACTTTGTATTACATATGAGGGCTAGGGTTACATAAGACATTTCTATGGCTTACACCCTTTCTGTCTGAAATATAGCAAGTTTTAGTTTTAGTCTGGCACTGCTTGTTTTGTTATGATCAGATAGAAATGAAAAGTTTGAGTCTAAAAGTAGTTTGTTTTATATTTATTGTCTTTAATATGGTTTCCAAATACATGTAGAATTGCAGTGTTTGTATTATTCTGAGCATCAATCACTTTATTAAAAACCAAGTCCACTATGTGCCATAGATTCCTATTTTAGGAAAAGGAAAGAGTGGACATCTTATACTTCTATTTCCTAGCATGGTGGCAGGGGCCTAGGGCTGTGCAATATGAACAAAATCTCATATTGCACATATCTCATATAAGAATTCTATCGTCCCGATAACGATATAAATCACAAAAATATAACATTTTCTGTAAATTCTGTGAATCTCGGGCAGCTCGACTTGCGGGAAGTGTTTCCAGCTGCGCGTCATGTAGCTGGAGTCGAGTGTTTTAACCGATGCATGAAACTTGTCTGCCTTGAGTCTGATGTTAGCAAATGTCTGTATAAGACTTATGGTGTAGCTATTCCATCAAATGAGCCTGCAAAATATTGTGCCCTCACCACACCGCATCCAATAGCCACAGGCCAAGTGTTGTATGTACATACATTCTCCTAGGCTTCCGGAGCATCCCTCTCTCCAAAAGTAAATCATGTTAACCTTAAATAGAGAGACTAGAATACTGCCATACAGCCAAATTACAACTTTTTCCTTTGCTCAATGACGGTGATTTAATCTGCTAAACCAATATTAGTAAAGGAATAACCTGGTAGTGGCCTCACTAAGCGCTTTACATGCTAGATTTCATGGCAATGGCACAAGAGGGCTTACTCGCTCACGTATTTTACTATACTGCTTGTCACACTATTGTGCTAGACTAACTGTGACAACTAGTTATCTCTTTAAGAATACAACTTATATCTTATGAGGAGAGAAACAAGAAGCACAGGTTTTGCTATCACTATATAGCCGAGGTGAAATTATGCACACTAGGAGACCCCATGCAGTTATTTTTGTGGTAATAAAGTCCTAAACTTGTTCTCGAGATTACCGTTCTCTTGTCTAACTTTTCGGCCTCGTGGCGCTGTAATCTATGCATTATAGTAATTAGCATGAAAACCCATGATGTCGACAGTCAAACCCACTAGGGGTCACACAAACAGATCTATGGGATATGGCCATCCATTCCTTTTTCAGTACCAATCGAGACTACCCTATCTGGAGCAGTTCCAATCCATGTTCATCCCATTCTTCTGAGTCGTACACCTGATCGCAGGTAGTAACACACCTAACAAACCCTTTAGAACGCTTTTGTCTCTGTCACACAGGCTACTGTATCTACTTATTCCACCCGTATTTCATTTCCCAAAAAGAACAACAGACCAAGAAATATGTAAGCGAATGTCTTTCTAGTCGACAACTATTCTTCTTGGGTAAAGCAAACGAGACTTATGGCACAAAAGAGTCTCACAGATCTGATGTATAACCCATAAGGTTTTAACTAGCACAAGGATATCCGTTGTCCTGCATCCATCATCAAGACTTGTCGGCATGGCCCGTAAGAAAGCTTGTAAATTGTTAAACACAGCTCCAACACGGACGTCTTGTCTGCATACTGTCCCCAGCAAAGGCTACCCCGGGTGTGCCTGTGTGCGTCATTTATTTGGCACATGAGCTGCATACAACTTCTTGGCAATTATAGCCCCAATCCAGGATCCTCTTTCGCAGTGGCTTCGTGGCCTAAAGCTAATGTCTTGGTGGGAATTTAGACTATCTTGAGCCGTTCAAAATAGATGCTGATGTACAGCAGCATTTCGTCTGATGGTAATGGAACCAAGCCTCCAACTCACGTTATACCAGACGTGTATCCTTAGTCCCAAAGGCATTATTCCCATCTTCAGCTTTCCCTGTTAGTACGCACCCCCTATGGGCGGAAGATGCCTATGCTTCTCCTCCGTAGGTTTATTATCTTCCAATCCCATCCCTCTGTCCTACTTTTGCCTCGCCAGCCAACGGAACGTCCACTGACATACAAACGGGACGAGAAACTAAATGAAAAGCTCTCGGCACAAACGAACAGACTGATTTTCGCAAACAATTATGGCGCACAAGATTCATGCGTCCCAAACCTAGTACAATATCTTGAGTAACATAGGATATAGATTCCACCACCTTACTTTCTCTCACGTTGTTGTACTCAGATAGCACATAACACCCATATGCTGGTGTCTACTATTCCACCAAAATCCACGCTCTCCATCTGGGTCTGTGTTCAACACTTCCCTAGGCCTATCCCCAAATATCATGCTGTTGCTCCTAAGTCATGTGCTGGCTAGAGTCCAGATGCAGGGACCAAACGGTCTCTTTTTCTGGTAGCGCGTAGACCATTTCCCTGATAACAGAAGTCTGTGCCACAGCTTCTGTTCACACCAGGAAGTGAAGTCCCAACGAACTCAAGTTGGTTTGACTTACCACCTGGAAGGCAGCTGGGACTTCTTATCCTTCCCAAGCCTTCTCTCATCCCCGGTACGTCCACTTGCGTTCTCTATCTGATATTTTCTCTCGGTTTTATTATCCCAGGTAGCCACATTGCGCTTTTTTTTATATCCGAATCCCACAACGTCAGATACATCTCCCATGCCTGTATATATCCACCACGTAAATATAAGCCCTCCTCAGCTCGGCCGGTCAGTTGCTCGCACAGCACCACGTGTTGTACCTCAGGCGACGCACCTTGGGGTTGTCCAAGGGTTCACTGGGTGAAACCTTTCTTGTGGTGTATCCTAGAGTATTTAAAATGGTGTTTGGTTCCCTAGCCAGAATTATTGGGAGGGCAGAAGTTTATGGCCCTTAAACTAAAGGATTTGTCTACGGGTGTTTCTTGTCTTCCGGTACCTTTCCTGTTCTTGAATATAACCTAGTCGTAGGGCATCACCCAGTTTGG